AAATGTGGAATTGTTCAAGAAACTTTTGGACGATTTCTTAAGGGACCGTAATATACAGGGGTACGGGTACTCCTAGAATGAGATCCTAATAGGTTGGACTTGATGGACTAATGTCTTTATTCAACCTCAAATACTATGTAACTATGTGAAGCCAGGGCAAGGATGAAAGCCCAGAGCCTGTGCCTTTTTACAGCACGTCCACAACAACAGCAGCTCCTGTATTTCTAGCCTCACAGGTTCCTTTTAATGCAAAGATATCTTTTAGCCTTTAGTCCTGCTAGCCCCCAAGGGATGCATTCGACAACGCACTTCTGTCAGAACTAAAGTAGAGGTCTAATGTAGGAAAGGGCTAACATTGCACCGTGTAGAGAAGAAGTTACCTAGAGCTGATCCCTGACCATTTTTTATAATAAACAGCCACGCAGAATTTCTCATCAGTCAGGAGTGCCAATTCCCAAGTTATGTTTAGGAGCAAAAAAATGTTTTTGGTAAATGTGCGTTATTGCATGTTGTTTTTTCATGTACTGGCACTCCTGGGCTTTAGATAGCTGGTTCATTGTTACGCTATACAGACTTGAATAAGCGGTAATTTACACTACACTAGGAAATCTGAATGAGTCTTATTTACTACAGGATTTGAGAATGTTCACACAATAACATATATGAAAATTTGCTTAAATTATCCAATCATGTGAGAAGATCCCTCGCATTATATTCACACAATTTATTATTAAACCAGCCTCCATGAGTCAGCCCAATGACCCAGGGGAGGGACACACCACATCTGACCCCTTATAAATGCCGCCATCTTTATTTTATCAATCTTGTACTTGTCCTAAAATTTTCAGCTACTGAAATATACACTTTGACCTGCTTTCATTTTTTCCAGGATTGATGAGTCTCTACAAGTAAAGATTACAGATAACGCACTTTCCCGTGATCTCTTCCCTATGGATTACCATTGTCTTGGAGACAATGAAAACCGTCCGGTACGATGGATGTCTCTTGAGAGTCTAGTTAACAAGGAGTTCTCCAGCGCTGGTGATGTGGTGAGTCTTTTATTTTTTTGGTGTGTGTGTGTGTGAGTGTTTTTAATGTTTTAGTTGGTTTAGCTAATATAATCTAAATAAAATCTGTTCACACATTTGCCAGATTCTTTTTTTTTTCTGAATCGGTTTAGTCTGATATTAAGGCCTTGTTCACACTACCGCGTGTTCCGAAAAAGGTTCAGGTGCGGTTTTAGCAATGCTTGTGTGGGCTGCCTTAAAGGAGAACTATGAGGCGAGTGCTTTTCACTCACCTCATAGTTCTAGGCGACCTGTGACAATGAGACTGTCACAGGTCGGCTAGAACTATGAGGCGAGTGCTTTTCACTCACCTCATAGTTCTAGGCGACCTGTGACAATGAGACTGTCACAGGTCGGCTAGAACTATGAGGCGAGTGCTTTTCACTCACCTCATAGTTCTAGGCGACCTGTGACAATGAGACTGTCACAGGTCGGCTAGAACTATGAGGCGAGTGCTTTTCACTCACCTCATAGTTCTAGGCGACCTGTGACAATGAGACTGTCACAGGTCGGCTAGAACTATGAGGCGAGTGCTTTTCACTCACCTCATAGTTCTAGGCGACCTGTGACAATGAGACTGTCACAGGTCGGCTAGAACTATGAGGCGAGTGCTTTTCACTCACCTCATAGTTCTAGGCGACCTGTGACAATGAGACTGTCACAGGTCGGCTAGAACTATGAGGTGAGTGAAAAGCACTCGCCTCATAGTTCTCCTTTAAAGGAGAACTATGGGGAAAAGCCTTAACCACATAGTTCTCCTTTAAAGGAGAACTATGGGGTACACTGTTAATAGCATTTTTAGATTCCTAATGGTACAGGAGTACAGAGGGGGACAGAGCTACAAGGAGCTGCTGCACGTTCATGAATACTCACACATACGCAGCAGCTCCATCCTTCAGCTCTATCCCCGCCTCTGTCCCCGCCTCTAATCCACACTGCTGTCTCTGGCTGCGTAGCAATGACTGATTCAGTGCGGGGAGCGTACTTAGGCTGCAGCATGTCTCATCTCACTGTGCCGCCGCAACACTATTTGCCCGCTGTGTAGCATCACGATGTCATGGAAACAGACCGATGTGAACATACACGCTCGGGTCCGAAAGCAGGTGTGCGCCCATTTGGAAAGCGTGGCCACACGAAGATTATGAGCTTGAAAGAAAGGAGAGGGCGGGGTTACAACCCTTGTTGCCACCCCCTGTGAAGATGCAAACTGGGGCAGGGCTGTTGGTGGCTCTTAACTGACTTCTGAAATAAGGAAATCTCTTATGTGCTGTCGCTTTGGAAGTAAAGAATACTATCAGCAGAATAAAGGTAAAAAGTGCATTTAAAATGCTGTATGTCATAATTCTCTAACGCAACACACGCCAGACATGTAGGCCCGGCCTAAATCTTTGCATCGGCTGTCGAAGGCTACCACAGTGAGACAAGTGGGTGAAGGATTGTTGAATGGACAGGATGGATAGCTGGTAAAGAGCAGGCTACGGGTGGTCTGGAGAAATCTTCCAGAAATGTTGAAACTAATTGAAGAACATTGGTACCCAGCAACCATTGCAGTTTTCTAATACACATGACAACAGGAATATCTGCAGTTCTTATACACCCAACCGCCAACAGGAAAGTTGTTTAACTTTTTTTTTTTTTTTTCTTCTTAGTGCCAAGCTGCATATTTTTATTTTATTAGGACCTGAAGTTCTCCTTTTAAATCAGCCCTTCTTCCCAGTTGAAGCTTATATGCATCTCTCTTAAACCCCCCTCCATCCACCCCACCAAAGCAGCCATTTAGAATATAGCTTAGGTCTGCTTACTACAGGAATAATCTCTCCTAATGCAGAAGATTAAGTATCCTGATAGAAATCTAATGGGACGGTAGCCTCTTAAGGTGCCCATACACTGCACGATTCTCGTACGAGAAATCGCGGAAAATCCCGCGATCATACGAGAATCGTGCAGTGTGAATGAAGACGTGCGACCGTTTCTACTGTACGGTCGCACGTCTTTTGTCTATGGACCATGCTAGAAAACCAGCCAAAAATCTTACGATTTTTGGTTGGTTTGAATGATGCTCGGGAGACATGCCGAACGGGCCGGTGTGCGCACACTGCCCGTTCAGCATTGCGGTCATCGGAAGTACGATCTGCCTGTCCAAGATGGGCAGATCGTAAGGTTTTTTTTAAAATTACTTTACAACCTTCGCAAGACTAGGGTCCTTGCGATGGTTGTAAAGTGTATGGCCTCCTTTAGATCCTTCTATATCTTTGGCAATGTACACAGTAGCTTCCAGTTAGTTGTGATAGTATACATGCCAAGAAGTGGAAACTGCTTTTCAGCATGATTGTAATTGGACTAAACAGTCGTGACTCAGCACCTGGATGTTTGTCTCAAAGTGAAGAAGAGTGGAATACTCCCCGACCTTATCATTGAACAGGTTAGCAGAACTGAAAGTTTCCTTCAGCTGTTGATATTCTGCAATTGCTACATAGTGACAAACCATTGAAGTCTGCTACATGATTAGAGCATAGCTAGTATTCCTTTGCTGCTACAGGCGAATGTTGGCCACAAAACTGCAATTTTCCATAGCAATACGACAGGTTTTTGTAGCAAAGTAAAAATATAGGTGATACCTTTTCATATGGCTAACGGAATATATTTTGAGGTGTGATTTTTCCGATACCAATACTGGAGTATTTTTAGCAGAGATCAGATACCACTCTCCAATACCAGTTCTGCACACTGCAGCCTACATTTTATGGCCCATTCATAAGCTGCAGCCCTCTTGTGGAGCCTACAGTGCCTCACTGCAGAGAGTACGTGTGGATTGGATTTTTTTTTTTCTTATCATTTCAGTAGCTCTCTGCTTGTTTTGGGTCCATTAGCAAGCCCAGCACAATGCACATTTCAAAAGTGTTGGCCAAGATAAGGCTCTTCTGAATGGGATCCATACATACATCCCTAAATGGATCACCTTACTTCTTTTATGTGTGATTTCACTCAGTGGTGTAAAACTCAGTTTTCTGCAAATTACCTTTCTCAAATACGAGTCATTATAAATAGTTAGTTTTTTTTGTTGTGTGTGTTCACAGAAAAGGTTGTAATTGGTTGGTTTGTAATAGCAGTACTCATGGTTGTACCTACTAGATATTACAGAGAAACTTCCATGAAGGTCCTTGCGGAGTCTTTTGAATTGCATTTCTCCACCAGTCTAAAAAGGAATAAGACTGACGCAACATGAAGTATGACTTGCTTATGAGTTAGGTTTTCTTCCTCCATGTAGTTTCTAGAAACTAGTTTCCTAATGTGTACATTAACCAGAATGGCCATTGAGCAATCTAGCCGCTCCCAGTACAGAAGCTTAGGAAGTGATTTGTAGTGTTATTTTTTTAATTCCTGGTAGACCTACGTAAAGCTTAAGGAGTACCTTCTAACAAGATTCTGCATCCCATCATGGGCATGTTGATGAAACTGAATAACAGAGCCGGTGCCCACTCTTCCTATATATAAATATATACAGCTTCTAACGGGAAACTATACTTTGTGATGTTCACTTTCCACTCTGCCCAGAGAGTTTGGAACATGATGTATACTTGTTTGGATGAAGAACAAAGGCCTCCGTCTGGAAGATATTTCATTCACTGCTGAAATCGATCATCATTCTGGGAAGCTTTGTAAAGTGTATGTGAAATTACTAGTCCCCAGAACCATCTTGAGAACGATGACATGGCTTTATTACGCCAGTGTCATGAAGAGTGTTTGTCCTTATTACACATCTTTCTAGTGTACATTCGCTAATGTACTTTACAAAGGACCCATAGCCCTGCATTATATGTAAGGACACTGAGAGACAGTCCACAAGCTGGAGCAAAGGGAAGGGGCTTGAGTGCCAAGTACCTTAGACAGAAGCGATCAGTTAACCCTTGCAGTGTAAAGGTAGGGAGGGTTTTTTTGTGTTTTTTTTTTTTTTTTTTTTTATACACAGATGGGCTTAGTTACAAAATGTATTGGTTCCCTGGACCTCCTGTATAAAAGTGAGACAAGACCTGCCTTACTGGCTGCCTATGATTCCCCGGGCTTCTTGTATAAAAGTAAGATGAGAGCAGTCAGTGGCTGCCTATGATTCCCTAAGCTTTAGGCAACATACATTCAGGTATAACTTGTATAATAAGCCATCAGTCATGCTCTCCCTTGCTTTCTAACCTTCAATGTAACATCAGTTGCAAAGGTCATCGCTTGCTGATCCTCTTTCAGATACTTGAAGCATGTGGTTTCTAGACCCTCAGACCATGGTAATTCCTAAAATCAAACTCTAACTAAACCTGATATTTTAGATTTGTGTGGTTGTAGTGGAGTCCCTACAAAGCTTCAGTAGCTAGATATTACCACCAGTATGTCTTGGTCTGGCTTAATGTTGAATAAACAACAAACAAAGCTATCGCCAGAATGTCACAGTTGTAATCTTTGTTAGAATGCGCAGACACCCAAAGTTCTGCATGGAAAACCCATTTTTGGAGTGTCCATCAAAGACTAGAGGTTTTCAAACCTGTTCACTATCTCCCAATATCAGTTGGGCAGAGGTGCCATAGAAATGTCAATTTCATCAAGTCTGGAGAAAAACCTCTCGTTTTATAACAAAGGTTAAAGATGACTTGTCATAAGAGGAATAGAGGCCGCCACTGTTGTACTCCTAAGAATGCTACTTCCAGGCTCTCATGCTTAAAAACTCAATGATTGAATCGGGAAAAAGTTTATAGGCAAGGACATAAGGTTTTTCATTTGACTTTCTTGAACTGCATGTTTGTGGTTCATAGACTCAAAAGTATCAAAGCCAAGATCAGCATAAGAGGCAGGCAACTACCATTTTCACAAGGAAATTACCAGTGGCCGCCCCATGTTTCCCTCATGACTGGTATTTTTTATAAAACCTGTAAGTACACAAGTCAATTGAAGGTTATTTTAAATCTATAGAACTATTTCATCCAGTGCTTTTGTAAGCCTTGCACAACAGTACCTATTATTTTTGTAACTTTTATATGAATCATGCATTGTTTTTTCTGTCTGTAATCTTATTCACATTCTGTCACATTTAAACCCATTCAAAGCTTATCAGCTCTCAAGACTTCTTGAGATACCAAGTCCCCTGTGTCCAGTACATTACTGAAAAGTCCTGTTTTTATAAGACTTGCGCAATCATAGACTTCCTTCCATTGAAGCAATGCTTAAGAGACTAGTTCCCAGCCCAGTGTCCTGATAGCTGACCTGGTTGAGGAAAGAATACAAATTTAGGGTCATGGCTTTTCAGAGTCCCAATCCCTGTGGAGTGCTCCATATTGTTTGGTGAATTGCAGAGTGATTTATGTTTGACATTTCTTTGGTTTCATTCATTTGAGTGGAAATTGTGTAAGTTCTGACCTGTGGGTGGGTGCTAGTCAAGAAGGTAAGGGAACAGTCAGTATCCTAACTTTATATTCAAGTTGCGTGTGTAATCAAGTGCTGTTACGTATGTGTTGATCGAGAAATCTGACTTCATTTAAAAGGAATGTGATTTTTTTTTTTTTTTTTTTTTTTTTTTTTTATTGTAACGCAATTTGTTTAACTCTAGCCTGTAATTATTGGTTTGTGGTTGCAGTTTTCCATACACCAGCAGATTTAGCCCCTCAGACTGAACTCGCAGGACAAACCTGGCAATAAAATTACTACTGAAAACCTTTCAATAAACTTTAAGGCTTGGTGCCAACTTTCCCTTAGTTACAGGCCAGTGCAATTTAATTAAAATTATTTGGATGCTGTGGCTCCTGTATATCATACATGGCTCCCCCATTTGCATTGCAGGCAAGTGGTTGAAAAAGATTATTAGGGTTATTCACAAAAAGGTGAAGAGTTTGGAGAAGGCAGAAGAACGGAACAATCTAGGACAACATAGCTGAACTGGAAACATTTTCCAATTCAGCTCACTTACCAGTTCAGCTATGTTGTCCTAGATTGTTCACTTCTCACCCTTTTGTTAATAACCCTGCATGACTCTGTTTTCAGAGATCTCATTTGGAGAAAGGGCAAGTCCAGAGTCGGACCTAAAACCCTGCAGCTTCCGAACGATGAGGGCGGGGTTTGTATAATTGTGTCTTGCAATTAAAAAACGTGCTGCAGCACTTAATTAGAAGTCCCACAATGATCTGTTGAGCTGCTTACTGTGATGACGTGGCAATGATGCTGCACTGCTCCTGAATTCAGAGCAGAGTTGCCACTCATGTGGACTGTCTACTTGCACTACACCAAGATAAAATAATTGCAGGGCGTGTGACTCATCATTGGCACTGCTTATTCACAAGGCTGTAGCTTGTCAGCCAACACCAGGACACTGCAGTTTGGCATCCTCGCTCTTGGCACTGGGTGACCTCGCTGCTTGTTATGCCCTGATTTATCTGATTTCTGCCATCATTACATTCTTATCACAGCGGCTGCCTCCAGAGGTCGTAGCTATTCTGTCGTTTCCTTTTAGAAAATAAACCTATTCAAGCAGAGTTGACTTTCTTTGTATTTGATGAAAGTGAATGTTTCTTCAATATCCTTGTTACTTTGGAAAGTGGCTCTTTTGTATGTGTGTCTTTAACCATACATGGGATCTGACATGTTGCAATGTTTCTTTGCAGTGGGCATTTGGTGTCACGTTGTGGGAGCTGATGACACTGGGCCAGACTCCATATGTTGACATTGATCCCTTTGAAATGGCGGCTTACCTGAAGGACGGCTACAGAATAGCTCAGCCAATCAACTGCCCTGATGAGCTGTAAGTATGATGTATTTACCGTCTCATAAAACCAGAGCATTGTCCTTGAAGACAAAGTACATAAACCAAACAGGTTATTAACTACTTCACTACTGATGCATTGTTTTAAATATATTTGCCTACTTGTTAAAATCTGCATTTTTGGCTAGAAAATCCGTAACTGCAAAATTATATATTGAAAGCAGAGTCGTCCCCATCCCCCCCTGGCCCCCACCC